TGGTTTTTCGTGTTTTCTGGGCTCTAGTTCTAGCTAATTCCAGACAAAAAGGCGACACGTTAGCTCACGTTAGACATGTGAAAAGCGTACACATATTTACCATGGTCACGTTAAGTGTTTTGTGCGGCGATGTGGGTCCACTTTGTACGGGCTAACGTACCAAAGTCTACTGAACACACAGTTTATGCCACAATCTCGCGAAATTGCAATTTTTATCGCTGCATAGCCAGTTGGATGATCTCGTTAAGAATATGAAGTCAAACGTAGTGACCTCTGTTTACGAGCTGGGCAAGATGAAAATCGCAGCACATATATTGCTCAAAAAAAACAAAATAAAACCGCTTACAGACAGACGTAGGGATAGGGAACTCCACCACATCAGCACCAGTGGAAGTGTTTTATTTATCATCTACCCAGGATGTCTCAAGGTTTTAGGCATGAAGTACACCTCTGATGGACAGAGTCCGTGATTTGTGTGGATACCTGCTGATGTGTAAGTCTAATCTCTCAGCTGCACGATTTGAAAAAAAAATAACTACCAGCAGTTTAACTTAATCAGCTATAACTTTGGAGTGAAACATGTTGGTCCATCTGTTTTACAAGTCGCACCATTCAGACATATATATTTATACCTGATTAGATCGGTCAACAACCACGGTAATCATGTTGTTGTGGCCCCAGCATGTGGCTTTGAACCACACCGGGGCCACGGAATTAACTCTGGCCCGATTACGTTTCCCTAATACCCGCGATGGAGAACAAGACCGGAGAGGACGGGACACAACGGTTTACTTCAGAGCTCCACCACGTTGGTGTTGTGTCGTGTGTGGGGTTTGCGCGTATTTATACCTCGGATGTGTGAGTCATACATGCGCTAACATCGAGACCTAGGTGTGAGGATACTCCAAGATAAATGTCCGTGTGAATGAGGGGGGAATTGGGGATACGCGCGGCTAGCAAGACGCTGCAAAACGGGGAACCCTGAGTCGGAGGTGGAGCGACCGGATTAAGGGGTTGAATAAACACGATTCACAGCAATGTAATACCTCGATTTCACACACTCAACAACACAGCTATGTTAAGCTATCTGGTAAATGGTCTTACCTCAGTCATCTCTTGTCTCCTTCTTGATTTTTGGGTATCTAATGTAGAGTAAACGTGGCGGTTTTAGAGCACATGACAGGGACTATTAAAGAATTAGATACCTTCAATGTAGATCTGGTTGGCAAAAGGTCCATAAAAATCGCAGATTGCTGAATTTAGCTGATATACGTTGTATGTTTTCCCCTTAGTGGGAGTAACGATTTCGGGTTTTCTTAATGCAGAGGGATGATCTACTGTAGATGTATGACCTTAAGAATTCTGTAAAATATGTCTCAAAACATAGAATTTTATCTAAAATACTGATAATTAATGTGCTTTAATCATTACTGAGGCCTTAGCATCTACAAAATCCATGCTATTTAGTCTGAATATGCCAAAGAAGTCACTAGCAAACTAAACGCGCGTTATTTTGAAAAAAAATATAACATGACTAACTGCACATAACTCCCAATTTTTTTAAAATTCGAGGTTGGTATTGAAATATTAATTAAATTTGTTAGTGCCGGTTTTAGACTGACCTAAGGCAGCTACATTTTTAATCGAATAAATCAGTGGGCAATAATCTGGTGCTGTTATTAAAAGTGCGAAATTCCGGTTACGATTCATTTTGCTAAATGAGAGTAAAAATCATTCGAGTTAGAATTTAACTTTGCTAATTATAAAAAAATTAAAAGTAGGTAAGACTAGATGCCTAATATTAATTATTCATGGTTCATGGTTAATAAGTTGAATGGAATTTTCTGAGTACCAGACAGTAAGAAGAAATAAATATGCACATATTTTTCACGCTACGGCAAATTGTAGGAAAAGGCGAAAAACAGCATAGTCATCGTTATAATGCATCAAATGGGCTGAATTTTTTACTTGCTTCGGAATGGATATGCTAGCCCAATTTAAAAAAATCTACCAAATTATTACAGATGATTCATCGTTATTGCATGTTTATTTTAGTGCAGCGCCTACGTAAAATCGTTCATACATCACCAGTGCCTTTTGCAAATTCAAGTGTTTACCTTCATTAGGTAAACTACTATAATCTAGTGGGTTTGCAAACACGATAGCCCGAGTATAAACATATCGATTTTACATTCCCCAGAGAAGTCAAATCAAATATTGCTTTTATTCACAGCAGTTGAATTACAAACAGAGGTTAGAACTGTGGGAAGATTGTAAAGCATGGGATAAACCTGCGGTAAAAATTTTAACACTAAGAAAACCCTTAACACATTGTGCTCACGAATGTGTAGTTTTCTCAAAATCCTGCTTGTCAATAAAACGTTTACTGTCCTTTATACAAAAAGACAGTGAAAGATGCAAATTACCCTAAAATATAATTTC